TATATATATATATATATATCAGTTGTTGTTTTTTCTAAACAGCAATGATATTAAGTAGGAAGAAAATGGAGACTATTTTTTATTATTTTTTCATATGGAGAAAAATACCCTAGGAATTTCACATAACTCATGAATTTGCTTAGTTGTGCCAAGATAACAATTCCTTCAATCAAAAGTCCAGTATAATCTTCCAGTATGATAAATAAATAAATACAAAATTATTATTTCACAACTGTCTCTTTTAATTTTCATTCAAAGGAACTTTAGGAGTTTTTCCTACCTTTCAAATTTATTTTATTTGAAAGAAATTAATACTTTTATCTATCAAGGATGCAGTAAGTTAATCAAAAGTGACAGTAAAGACATTTGTAATGTTACATTTTAAAATAATGAAAAATAAATGCTGTTTTTAAGATGGTTTGTTCATCAGAGTATCCTGAAAAAAAATTATAATAGTGTTCATATTTTTTAAACAATAATGGCCTTTTTCAGTTGTGATAAACAAATGTTTCACGAACACCAAATCAGTATATTGGAGTAATGGTTGCTCAGAATTAAGCTTTGCCATTACAGGAATTAAATTGCAATTTAAAATACAGTGTATGAACAGAAAACTGTTGTAATGACATTTTACTATTGAACTGTTTGCACTGTATTTTTGTTGACATAAATGCAGCCTTGATGAGCAAGAGACTTCTTTCAAACCCATTAAAAACGCTTACAGACCCAAAACTTTTGAACTGTAGAGTAAATTCAACTTAAATGAAAATTCCATTGGCTAGAAGCAATAAATATTTCTTCTGGGTGTGTGTATGTGTTTTGGGTTGAGGGGGTGGTGTATGTATGTTTTGGGTCTGCAAATGACCTATTGTGTGTATGTTTTTGGGCTGAATGTTAATGAATGTGTGTGTGTGTGTGTGTGTGGGAGAAAGTGTGTGATTGTACTCCCCCTCTTCGGGCAGGAGTGTGATTGGCTTTAAACAGATTAACATTCTAATGGCCAGAGTCTTAAATCCACCCAGTAACAGAACAAAACTGCTCATTAAAACATACTGACCCTACCACATGTTCTCTCTCTCCTTTTCCTTTAAATGTTTCATTTATTTTTCTCTCCACCTGTCGTTCTCTTCAGAAATTGTTCTATGAATTTCTAGGATTGGCAACGTATATCTAACTTATCAGTTTGGCTCAGTTGCGTCACGCCTGTACACATCCCCCTTCAGATAACCGTTTGATTGCATTTATTCGTTTTTGTAATGCAGCTTCAACTTTACATTCATGTTAAAGTCCAATACTAGATTAAAATGTGTCATTGACTAGGATGTATGGAAGCTCGTTTCTGCCTTAAAGTGATGATACAATCAAATGAAATAAAATAAAGTTCCTGGTCTATTTCGTGTTCATTTTGCTGTGTCACTGTAGTGCCCAGTGACTCTGCAACCAAAGATGAGGAATGTAATTTTGTCCACTCCTACTGCTTTTGCCTATGTGAAATTCACCTGCAAGCTTTTGTCATATCCAACATTGAGGAAGTGCTTCCGATCTCTCTCTCTGTCTCTTGTTTTCTCTCTGCATTGTCTGTCTATTGAGAGAGAAGAAGGTGTGTTGAATGCATTGATTGTATGAAAGGCGTTTCTGTGTGTGAGAATAAATAGAACTCTTCTCAGAGACTTGTATTTCACACATGGGGGTTGGTTCATTTATTTTTTATTTCCAGCCAAGTCAAGAAATCAATGGTTTAGTGAACCATTCTAATCAGTGACTAGTTAGATGAACTGTTTGTTTGCCTGGGAAAACAATGGCACATATTAGTGAATGATATTAAAGTGCTAGTTCACCCAAAAGAAGAAAATTCTCATGTAGTTGCAATCCTGTACACTGAAAAAAAGTAATTGCTAGTAAATTTCACAAATAATTAAGGCAACACTTTGAACTGAACAGTGAACATGATATTTTGTAGAGAGACTAAAATAGTATTTTCTTGTTCAAATGTACTCCAATATGTATGTATGTATTTATTTATTTAAATTTACTTCAACTTAAAAAATGTTATGTATATACTGTATATATTTACAGTGGGTACGGAAAGTATTCAGACCCCCTTAAATTTTTCACTCTTTGTTATATTGCTACAGTAATTACAGTGTATGACTAACTTTACTCTGTGGAAGATATTTTGAAGAATGTTTCCATGTTTCACAAGTTTAAAACCGATGTTTTCATTGTATGGAAAAAAAATCAAATATCTTTTTTTTTTTTGAGTTGGTTACATTTTATTTTATGTGGTTACAGTGTAATTAAACAAATAAATACTGAGTAAAACAGTAATTACAGTGTATGACTAACTTTACTCTGTGGAAGATATTTTGAAGAATGTTTCCATGTTTCACAAGTTTAAAACCGATGTTTTCATTGTATGGAAAAAAAATCAAATATCTTTTTTTTTTTGAGTTGGTTACATTTTATTTTATGTGGTTACAGTGTAATTAAACAAATAAATACTGAGTAATATTAATGAACTGCATGTACTTATTATATTATATGGTTAAGTTTATTGTTTGGTTTTACGTTAGTCGGTTTTAATTATGCATAATTTACTGTTATTACTGTAGTAAGTACATGTAACAAGTAACTGTCACATTAAAATAAAGTGTTGCAAGTTTATGATGAGATAGAAGAATGTAATAAAATTTTTTTGACAAGTGTTATTTATTGATAAATGTATTGTTTATTTTGCAGACATGACAGTTCTTTTTTTAATATAAACATAACAGTTGTTGCTTCTGTATGACCACATTTCATTAATTAATTTAATTCGAAACACACAAGCTAGAGGTCAATGAACTGGGTGAAATTGTTATTTTGGAGATTTATTTATTTTTTAATTTTTTTTCCAATTTCATTCAAACATTCCCAGAGGTCTATGAGAAACTGTGTGTGTTCATCTTTGTGTCACTTTGATGCCTTTTTTGCGTAAATCAGAGAAACCAAATGGGATGGTGAGCTCTGATATGTGTATAAGGTGTGTGTGTGTGTGGAATGCTGCTCTGGCCTGTCTCCAGGTTGAGGGAGGATAGCGTTTCCAATCCGAGAGGCTGGAAGCATTCTGGTTTGGTGAGTTTCTGAGGCGCACACACACACACACACAGAGAGAGAGAAAGGAACAGGTTGTTTGGACCAGCTCGGTGAGAAAGATGTGAGACGAAACATTTCCTGGTACTAACTCCTGTAGACACAGACTGACACATACACACACACTCTATTTCTTTTTATCAGTTTCTAAAGATTGCATGTTCCTTATATATATATATATATATATATATATATATATATATATATATATTTGTGTATATATATATATATATATATATATATATATATATATATATATATATATAGTTTTGTGAAAAGTTTGTCTTTGACCTTTGGCATTACAGACTGGTTCAGTATTCCTACAGATTTTTTTCTTCCTCACAGCAGAGGAATGTGAAGATTATGTCAGTGAGAGGCAGGTACAGAGACTAGCGCTAATTACTCTCTCTCTTTCTCTCTCTCTCTCTCTCTTTCTTTCTCCGCCCGGTCTCCCTCGTTTTCCCTCCCTCCTCCTCCTCCTTGCCAGTGAAGGAGACAAGCAGGGGAACGAACAGCAGGGACGGGGAAGTGAAACAGTTTGGAGATAGAAACCAAAAGAGAAAAAGAAGAGAAACTTCTCACTCTGGACTGTCAAGACCTGTGAGAACAGACACAATAACGGGTGAAATACAGAGAAACAGAGATGAATGTGGCTGATCTGCTGTGCCTTTGATTAATGCAACACATAGACTCTCTTTGACAGCTACTAAAAGCGCAGGTAAGTTCCTACATTCTCAGGCACGTCTTTTTGTGATCCTCTCCTTCACGGTCTCATGTTCTGTCAGTTTTCCTTCCTTGTTCTCTGTGTGTCATCTTCTCACAGATGGTCCAGCGATCACATTCTCCCCTCTGACCTTATTTATTTTCTTAGAGTTAAATTGACATCTCTCTTTCCCTCCCTCCCTTTTTCTTTCTTTTTTCCATCTTACAGTTGTAAGGTTAGAATGTCCATGTGTTGCGAAAACTGTGTTGAAAGTTGCTCTGCGGGTCTTTTGTGTGTGTATGTGTGTTGTGTAACTGCACTCAGGGGGTGTGCTATAATTTAGTGTGTGTGAGAGAATCAGGTTTCTGACAATGAGATGGCTCAATCTAAAAGAAAAAACAACGAATCAAAAACATTTGAAGGCCCATTCCAGCCTTGCATGCTTAGTGTAATGAGTGTAGACGTGTACTTTTTTTCAGAGGGGAATGGCACAACATGAACGGACAAGACACACTTCACTTTACAGATTAATCACCATTTCATAAGCAAATAATTGTTTCTAGAGCCGTAGAATCTTGTTTTTCTACCAACAATGTATGGAAGTTAAGTCTTAATACATGTAATAGGGAAGTGCTTCAGCGACAACTTTAATATGATGTTAAGTTGTCTCCAAAAAGCAGCTACATCTGATGAAAACCTCACTTTAGGAATATTCAAAAGGTAAAAATGACTCATATACTGTATGTCATAAACAAATGTATCTTTTAGGGTTAGGGCTAGTTTGTTGCTATTATAATTAACTTTATGTAAGAAGAATAGCTAGATAACTAGGTAAATGTGTGTGTGGGTGGGTGTGTTTACTTAGCTGTACTTGAGGTATAATTTTGTCTACAGAAGTGAGCTAAATTGTATAAAACCTCCCTTTGGGGGAGAACTATGGACTTTTTCAATTGGAAAAACATGATTCATAAACAATGTTTTTTTCTTCTTCTAAAATTACAAAACATTTTATTTTAGTTGTAGAAGTCAGTAGCAGTAGTAATTATAATATGTTTATACAAAAATCATGAAAGTCCCCTAGGTAAATGTATGTGTGTTTGTGAGTGCCTATGAATGGGTTATTTCACGTAGGTGGTAAAGAGATCAGGGGTCTTGAGAGCCGACACACTGACTTTGCATTGTGGGGGTTGTAGTTTAAAAGAAATTAAATGAAGAACTTGAGAAGAATTAACACTGAGGTGAAGTACAATGAAAAGACAACCTGTCTCTGTGTGTGCGTGTCTCAGTGGTCATGTGACTCTCTGTTGTTACTCTAAATACCGCATCTGTTAAATGTGTAGGCATGTTTATTTGGTGACAGACCTTTAGGGGCCCACTTGTGTGTGTGTGTGTTGGAAATCTGATTGGCTGTGGTTCTGACTTAAACCAGTTCTCTCTGCCTACATTCAGCTGCTTATCTGATTCTCAGAAAGCAGCATATTCAGGTGCATGTGTGTTTTTGGAATTTATATGCATTTCACTTTCATTAAATATTGAAATGATTTTAATTTTAATTTTATTTGGCCGTTAAATTTCCTAAAGACATAATCATTTTTGTCTTGTGAATTGTTAGTGTAAACTTTGAGAAAGAGATGCCTTGCTTGTATTTCTGGTTTAAACTTCAGAAGCAGAAATGCTGTTAGAATTGCTAATATAATTAATTAATTGATTCACAATTTTGAACATTTGGTGGATATGAGCATTAAGACAGGAGCAAATAATTTGCTAATCATTTCAAATAGTCTTTCAAAAAAATTGATTCACAATTCTGACTTAATGTTATGATGTGTCATTATTTTTAAAAAAAAGTCTCTATATAGCATTTTCATGAAATATTTTAATGTAACATTCAAATATTCATGCAAATAATGTTTGCCATAATCATGCAGATATTTTAACGTAATATTCAAAAGTTCATAAATATAGCTTTTTGTTACTGTTTATTGTTATATTGGTGCATAAATATTGAAATTCTTCCTTCCATTTAATGACAGAAAATTAACGATTTTATTATAAAAATGCAAAATTGAATGAACGATGGCCTTTTTATAGTTATAGAAATATCATCCCTTAATGTCAGGGTCTTTTTTTCTTTGCTATATCATTAAGTTCTATTCTCTAAATGTATTTATTTCTTTAAAAAATCTCGAAGCCCACAAACTCTGAATTGAATATAATTGTAAGGTTTAGCGACATTTCTCAATTCTACATCATTTATTGACTCAGTAGTTTTATTTCCTCTTTGTGGGAAACACACATTTCTTATTCATCCCCCTTCAGCACTTCAGTCAGCCTTCCTTGACTTCTTGTAGACATACTATTAGATATAAAGAAGGAAACAGAGAGAGAGCAAGACAGGTCACCTCTCTTTTCAGTGTTCTTAAAGTCATATGACTGATCATGTGACCTCCTCAGCATGACTTTAACCCTGACAGACATCTGCGCAAGTGTATGTGTGTGTGTGAGTGAAACAGGATCTCCTCTCTCTCCCTTCTGCTTTTCGTCCCATCTCTCTCCCTAACACACATCAAATACCTGCACTTCACAATGAATGCATTCTTACACTGTCTCTATAGACAGACTAGAAGAGCCGTATGTGTGTGTGTGTGTTCAGCATGGTTCTCCTCCAGGTACTTTGATTAATAGTGACTTCTGAGGGGTGGAGCTCTTTTAGACCAAAGGCTTAATTTGGGATATCCCACCGTGTGCCACACACACACACACACACACTAGTCTCCTTAGTGACACAATTTCTGCATGTCTGAATCAAGTCGCTCAATTTCTCTCTGTCTTGCTAATGCTTTTATGCCGCTTCATTACACTCTTCTCTCTCTCCCCTTTCTTCTTTTCTTTGTTGTAGTGAGTAATAATAGGCCTCGTTCATAGAACCCAACAAACAGGACAAAATCTGGACTGGTGTGTGAATATTGTTATATAGTATGTACATCTGCTATAGTGTGTTTATGTGTGGAATGAAGGGGGTAAGAGAACGCAATAATCCCTTGCAGTTTGTCTTCTTTTAAATGTAACTATTTAAAACATCTCATCCTTCTTGCACTGATACTGAAGACTCAGACACTTGTTTCCAAGTACACCCTGTCCTTCCAGTTGATCTTCAACATTGATTTTTCAACCAGAAAAACATAGTACAAAAATCAACCACTTTTCTCTTAATGTTAAAAAATACATTGCATCATTGATTTACATAAAGTGTTAACCTCTTAAAAATTTTGTTTTAGTTTTGTGTGATTTTGTAATCAATATGCAGTGGTACTTGGCCAGAAGTCATTCATTTTTAGAGTTGGCGATCTGAGGCAGTATTTGTAACAAAGACTGCAGTTAAAGAAATAGAAAATTCTGTCATTATTTACACACTTTCATATATTTCCAAGCCCATAAGACTTTAATTCAACTTTGAAACTCAAATAAGGATATTTCAATGAAACCTGGGAGATTTCAGCCCCTTCATTGAAAGTCCTTTACGCCTAAACTTTGATGCTAATGTTCATAAATGTATTGTAAATGTAATCCATATAAATCATGTTTTAATCCAAGTCTTCTGAAGACACATGATTGCACTATATGATTAACAGGTTTAATTTAGGTTTTTATTCACATATTAACATTGATCAACACATAGAGTACATCAACGGAAGCTCAAACGTGCTTGCTTGATGTGAAGGTTTGTTGTGATTATAGTTTAACTTCTGTTTCTCATGTTTGATGTGTTCTTTATGTACTGATTAATGTTTATATGTAAATAAATGCCTATATTATATCTGTTCATCATATCTTTTGAAGACTTGGATTAAGCCACTTGATTCATATGGATTATACATGGATATCTATAAATTTTTTGAAGAGTCAAATTTTGGTAGAATGGACTTTAAATGGAGGGACAGAAATCTCACAGGTTTCATAATATTGGTTTTGTGTTTCAAACATGAAAGTCTTATATGTTTTGAGTGCAGAGTGATCCCAGAGTAAAAAAAATCAGAGTATCCTCTACCTGAACAGAATGTGAAGTGTCTCAGTCATTGGAACAAATGAGTTCAGCATGATATTCCTAGGGCTTCTGTTCTTTTGTTTTTTTAAAACAAAATACAAACTGCAACTGTACAGTTATTTCAGATGGTGGAAATATATAATCTTCTCCGCTTAATGCCATAATCAGTGTTGGGGAAAGTTACTTTTAAAAGTAATGTGTTACAATATTGTGTTACTCCATTGAAAAATAACTAATTGTGTTACTTAAAATAATAATACTAAATAATAACTTAATAACTAAAAATGTTACTTAAAAAAGTAATGCATTATATTACTTTTGCGTTACTTTTTGTCACCTGGGCTGGGTTTGCTTAGTTGTTTTTAATTAAAAAAAAACAACTAAGTTGGCGTAAATTTTGGCAACTCTCATACCAAAAGTTAAATTAATAAGCCTCAGGCTGAAGGAAGTGCCTCAGCCTCTGCACCTCACTCCCAGTTTCTCCCAACACGGGGACAGGAGAGCTGTCAGTGAATAAATGAGAAAACCAAGTAACTTGCATTGCTTATTTGAAAAAGTACCTCAGATATTTTGTTGTAAATTTGAAAGTAATGCGTTATTTTACTAGTTACTTGAAAAAAGTAATCTGATTATATAACCTGTGTTACTTGTAATGTGTTACCCCTCGACACTTGCTATAATACTTCCGAATTGGAGCTTTGAAATATTTTATTTGTGTTCTTCAAATCTATAATGTTTAGATCATCTATTGGTCCAATATCAAAGTACTATGCTAAGATTTTGGACCAATAAGACTTCACTGCACTTGAAATCTCATTGTTTTAAAATCACCCTATGTATTACACTTCGATATGGCTCTTCCGTGTCTGGAGTTATTTAAAGCTCTTAAGCAGTTGAGCCACCAACGCAGTCACCATCATATGACCTTGACTAAGAGATCTACTGTAGGTCAGATGTATTACTAGCATAGAAAGTCAGAGCGCATGTCTGTTTGCGTGTCCGTGTGTGTCTTTATTCTATTCATATATTCGTACATTGCTGAAGTTTGAGTTAAACCTGATTTTCCAGTTACCTTTACCAGCAATGTGTGACGCAATATGTGCAAAACTAAAACACACTAAAACACATTTTTCCCCCCCCCCCCAACACACACACACACGTCTTCTACCAACTGTCCCTTGAGGATATATTTAATAAGTTTCATTCATGTTTATCTAATACTTTATCCCTCTTTTTCTGTAACAAACTCACTCCATCTTGAGGAAGCACAGAAGAAGAACTTGAACTCGATAAAGTAGAAAATTAGATGTGTAGAGTGGGCACTGATAAGGTTATAAATGCAGACTTTGCACCCTCTCAAAGTATGTTGACTCTACACAGCCTCACCCTGCTTTATGGCCTACCCACAATGCATCATGTGCCCAGGTTTTATAATGTTGCTAATGAATTAAAAGATAATATCTGATGGTGCTATTTTACATCTCAAGGTTGTATTTTCAGCGAGTGGGGATAAACTTCGGAAATGTTTCCTTGTGAATTAATATGTGTACACTAGCATTGTGAGCACAGACTGTTGTAGACAGTTGAGGGATCCATCCAACTGGTTTGCCACCCCTTTGCGTGTGTGTGTGTGTGCGTGAGAGTGTTTGTTTATTTTGTGTGGCTACTAAGGATTCTTCTGATCAGCCAACCGCTTCAAACAAATATTGTTTTGCCTCTTAAGCACACCATCATTTCCTGTTTATGCACGTCCCCCGTCGCTCTTCCCTCATTGCCCTCCCTCATTCCACCTCCATGTTTAGTAGTTACAGCTAAATGTGTAACAAGTGACCATTATCATATGACATCTTGCTGACTCTGCAGAAAAATACAATCGGGTAGTTGATAAATAACATGTCCATGAACTTTGTTTTCAAACCAATATGTGGGCTATAAAGGAAAGTGTTGCTTTTTAGCATAATTTAAAAGGGTTAGTGAGGGTTTTTTTCTGTCCCAAAAATACAGTAATACTGTCCGGGTCACATGGTCCTTCGGAAATCTGATTTAGTGCTCAAGAAATGCACTTTATTATTATTAAAGTTGAAATCAGCTGAAAAGTTGTGCTGCTTAATATTTCAATGGAAACCTTGATTCCCTTTTTTCAGGGTTCTTTGATGAATACAGAGCGCAGCATTAATTTGAAACAGAAATGACATTATAAATGTCTTTTTAAATCAGTTTAATGTATCCATGTTGAATAAAAGTTTTAATTTCTTTCAAAAATAAATAAATAAACAAACAAACTTACAGTCCCCAAACTTTTGAATGGCAGTGTACAATCACACATTTGAAATTATCCAGCCATGGCTTCCTGTTTCACAGAAATATAAATAGGAGGGAAAACAAAGCCCAAATCCCCTTAATCATCCATCACAATGAGAAAAACCAAAGAATATATTTCTGATGTGCAGCAGAAGATAATTGAGCTTTACAAATTAGTGAAGTGGCTTTAAGAAAAGAGCCAGAGCAGTGAAAATTCCCATTTCCACCATCAGGGCAATAATTAAGAATTTCCAATCAACATAAAATGTTACGAAACTGCCTGGAAGAGGACGTGTGTCTATATCGTCCTAATGCACGGTGAGAAGGAGAGTTTGAGTGGCTAAAGACTCTCCAAGGACCACAGCTGGAGAATTGCAGAAAATAGTTGAGTCTCGGGGTCAGAAAACCTTTTAAAAAATTGTCAAACAGCACCTACATCACCACATGTTGTTTGGGAGGGTTTCAAGAAAAATTCAAACAAACTCCAGCATATTCAGTTATCAGACACCACTGGAACTTCAAATGGGACTGGCTTCTATGTTCAGATGAAACTAAAAAAATAGCTTTTTAGCAGCAACCACTCAAGATGGGTTTGGTGCACACAGGGATAAAAAGTACCCCATGTGTAGAATGAAATATACTGCTGTATTTTTGATGTTGTGGGCCTATATTTCTGCTGGAGGTCCTGGACATCTTGTTTAGACACATGGCATCATGGATTCTATCAAATACCAACAGATAAAAAATCAAAAAGTGACCGACTCTGTTAGAAATCTTATAATGGGCCATGTTTGGATCTTCCAACCGTACAATAATCCAAACACAAACCTCAAAAACAACACAAAAATGGGTCACTGAGCACAAAACCAAGCTTCTGCTATGGCCATTCCAGTCCTCTGACCTGAACCCTATAGAAAATGAGTGTGGTGAACTGAAGAGAAGCAGCACCAGCAAGCAGCTGGGAATCTGAAGGGTCTGGAGAGATTCTGGATGAAGGAAGGGTCTCTGATCTCTTGTCAGGTGTTCTCTAAACTCATCAGGCATTATAGGAGAAAATTTTGAGCTGTTAAACTGGCAAATGGAGGTTTCAAAAAGTATTGAATAAAAGGGTGCCGTTAATTATGGGCAATGTGTATTAGAGAAAAACATTTATTTCATAATGAGATTTCCCACCATTTTAAATTCTTATTATCCAATGAAAGGTTAGATTTTTGTGAATTTTTTAAATAAAAGATCAAAAGGATTAACAGTGCAGATTAATTTTCACAGCCTTCTTTGATCAAATTTACCAAGGGTGCCGATATTTTTGGCCATGACTTTTTTTTTATTTTTTTTTTTTATATAGCCAGTTTTGGTTGTCTCAGTTTCTATATACGGTTTCACTCCAGCACGCACTCCCTTCTGCGAATCAATGATTTCCACCTTATCAAAGTAACTAAAGCAACATAAAACACACTGTAACGTGTAAGTACCTGTTTCTTAGGAACAGGAATGAGAAGATTTCACAGTCCTTTCCAGGTTTGAATGCGCATGAGGGCCGCTGAGCTTCAAACTGTCTTGAAATGTTTTTGAATGCAGGAATTCAGGAAATTGATTTCAGGTTAGACTGAATAGTTTTCAATCAGTTGCCACCTATAATGAATTTTTGCTCAGTCAATGGACAACCTCATTCACAGCTCACCGCACGCAGTCACGCTCCCGCACAGACGTCTTGTTTGCTCCCAGAAAAATGGGAGAGAAGGGTTCTTGGGTGTGACAAGGAAAAGGAAGAAAGAAAGAAAGAAATATAGGAGAGAGGTGTAGGAGGGGGCACCTTTGCTCTGCCCCACCCCTCACATGCACTGAGTAAACACTCTTTTACCAACTGCACCTCCAATCACACACTCCGCTTCTCTACCCCACAGACTGTGTGTGAGACCGAGAGAGAGAAGAGGCTAGCCGCTGACGCCAGACAGACAGAAGGCCTGAGTGCGTGTGTGTGCGTGTGTGACTGTGAGTGAAACACACACCAGCTACACTGCCTCTCGGACACATTCATTCACCTGAAAAGGCAGGTAACCTGTGTTTCTTCATTGTGTGACTGTGACTGCTGGGATTTTGAAGTATGTGTGTTTTTTCTGCTTGTTTAGTTCTGGCTTAGGCTTTATTTAAATGATTGGTGTTTTCTTGTGTGTTCTTTTTGAATGGCAATGTTGTAATGACCTTTTATGACCTTCAGGGGAACTTAAAAAATGAAAACGATACATTTGTTTGCTGTATGGTAAGGATTTTGAAATATAAATGTACTGTTGAAATATAAATAGCATCTTAGGTAATTTGACTAGCAGCATTGTGTGTTTATGCAAGTGAGCGTAAAATAAAGTAAAATGTAATTGTGCGTCACAGTTCGCTGCATTGGTTGTTGGTCTTTGGACTCGACTTCTTCAGCCTTATGTTTGCTGTTAGGGTGGGCCCAGACCTGTGCGTGTTACTGTTATCAGAAAGGTTCCTGTATTTCTCCAGTCAGTGGCAGATATCTTGATTCTGCGTGTGCAGATTTCTCACCGAAAAATCATCAGGTGAAAGTGATGAGACATCAGTGATGTGCTTATTTGAGGCATTTTTTGAGCAGATCATCAGCTGTGTGTGTCTGTATCAGCGGATTGTGTTTGATCAGGCCTCGTCACATTGTGTTGCAGTAAGTAGATTAACTTCAGGAGTGAAGAGTTCAGACTGCAAGATAAGAAACCTCAAGATGTCATCAGCATTTGTGGTTCATCCCAATGCTCTAATGTGTGCAGTGTAGTTATGGTAAAAAGAATTGAAGTGCTTTAAGTTATGGAAAGATGTGTTAATTTGTGATTTGTCCACTCGATATGTGTGTGTGTGTGTATGCAAAAATGCTTAATATGTGATATTGTGTTTGATTGTGTGTGTATACACTTAACCTTAATCATTTTTAGTTTTTTTTACTTCCTTTTTCCTTGTTTGTTATTGATTGTTAGCTGTGTTAACTAAAACTATTGAAATTTAAATATCTGAAATAACTGAAATAAAATATATTAGGTTTACTTTAAACTTTAACTTTTAAACTTAAAAACAAAAAAAAAACTAGAAATGTACCCTTAGTAACTAATTGATATCAAATACGTTTAGCAGTGTTAACTAAAAATAAAACTGATAAACGTTGTTTTCACTGATTGATATAAAGCGGAAATAAAATAAAACATAAATATTAGGTAAACTTTTTTTTTTTACTTTTAAAAGTGAAAATGAGAAATGTTGCCTTTGTAACCAATTGAAATATAAAAAGTTTAAGTAGAAGTACTAACATTTCTAAAACTGAAATAAAATAAATTAAAGCTGAATAGAGATAAAAACCACAAAATTACAAAATAAAAATGATGAATAAAAACAAATTCTAAATATTAATGAATACTATAAGAGTATATAATAATACTAAAATAACACTGATTGTTTGAGTTATTTAATGCCTGTTTTTGTCATGAGAACAAAATCATTGTGTGTGTTTTATATGAATGATTGGATAAATGTTTTACTGTAGCATGTTTTCATAGAGAATTGAAACTGAGGATTACAGGAATTGAAAATGGTGTTGTGGGTATGATGGTCTCCATGTCCGACATCTGACATTGTTTGACGCCAGTGTTCTGTTTTAAGAAACCGTAATGTGTTCTTTATGTAATATTTCAAATTCATCTCCTGTGATCCAGCTGCAATGCACATAGCATATTTATAGGACAATATACAGACCTTTCAATACTGAGTTTTTCTTGTAACTCTGATCGTTCTCAGTGCTGATTCTTTTTAGATCTTTTTCACCACTGAATACAAGGATTTTTTTACGTCATGAAAACTTTAGATCTAATTTTTGTTCTTGACAGCTTTCAAGTGATTCACTCATATATTTTCAGATTTCTGTCACTTTCAGTATTCATATCGATTGTTGTTGACAAACAGATGATGCATTAGCTCGCTGTTTGGATCACATCACTACACAAAGTTCCAGTGAACAGTCAGTGAGAATAAAATGTATCTGCCAAAGTAAGTCTATGCTCACATATTTGTGCTGGACAACATTTGGCCACTTTGGCCTATTACTATAACTGCTAGGCTGATTAACAGAAGTTGTAGTTCCCTCTTGTGTCACTTTCAAAATCAACCAGCAGCTTTTTCACTGGATAATCTGTTTAAAATGAAATTTTGTGAACTTTAAGGCGAGACACTGCAGGTGAATAGAGTAAAAAAAATAACTAATAGTTATCGCCTTACTTACCCAGCTGATTGATTACATTGCTAATTGCAAACATTTTTGTATTAGAAGTTTTCTAAAATGTTAGTTTTAGATATGCAAATGACTCACTATTTAATGAAATATGCGCTAATTTGCATACATTTCTAGTACAAAAATCTAAACACTGCATGATGTCAGTTTCAAAATTCTTGTTAAATTTTTTGACATATTAGAGTCAAACGTTTTTACAGAGGGAATTTTGGGTATCTCATTTTTGTCACTCCATAATTCAGAAAATGCTTAGAATGGACAGAAAACACTATATTTTCAAAATTTGGGGGGGATTAAAATGTTGTATATAATCAAGCAAATTATATATGAACTAATCCCTCTGTAAAAACCTTCAGGATATAGACAGGAATAAAAATGTCAAGTTTGGTGTGTGTAAGTGCTACTGAAGTGGAGATTTATGGCTCAGTGTAGCAGAAAAAACTCATTTTGAGAAAACGGCCTTTAAAAATGTATTGTAATTTAAATCTATTGACACAAATAGATAAAGTGCTATAAAAGAAACACTTAACAGTGTCTTTTGGATGTTTTCTCTCCACTAGTCTGAAAAAACACTTTATGAAATACCAAAAAGCCCAAAATCTCAAACTTTTGACAGGTGCATGAAAAAGTAGTGTTTTTGCCTGCAGTGCCTCCCCTTAAGTAAATATTGTGTAAATTATCCATTTAATTTCTGTAGTTGTTTTCTTTCGCTATCATTAAATCATATTATCTGCATCTATTGCCATTCTGTTGTGCTAAACTCTAGATACTGACCATTGGCAAACCGAAAAATTCTATATAGAATATAGAGAGTGTGTTAAATTAAAAAGAATTGTGGAGCCTCGTTTAGAGAGACTTAATGTTAATGATCTGCACAGTGATTATGAAGTGTCACAAAGGTCAACGTTTGTCAGAGACTAGGTTTAATAATTATAGGACACCATTATAGAGTTTTTGCTTAGTCACTGAGAAGAACACAAGGTTCTGCACTTTTCGGTTCATCATGTGAGTGTTTTTTTTTATTTTTTTTAAATGAGCGGTTTTAAGAGTCTCTTCAGCAATAAACATTAACTCACCAGATTATCTGTTGGCCATGGCAACAAACTTTGACTCTTAACGCGCTGGTCACCTTGTATGGATGCTGAGTGTAAAAGGAGTTAATCTAAACCTTGCTGACACACCAACATTCAGACACAGTAAAAAACACACAAACACTCTCTCACCCATGTCTTTTAGCCACCTTTTACCCCTGAGAGTCTTTAATGACACTCCAGCAGAGCTTTTGTGCATATGTGAGGGCTTTTCTTCGCTCTCTTGGTTGCTCTATAGTGTGTATATCGTTTGAAGAGTCCTTGACATGACTAAAGAGATGCCCAGTATCTACACATAAACAGAAAGACAGACACAAATGGGTCAATGACATGATGTGCTCACCTGACTCATCTATTAATTTATTCAAAAATACATAAAAATGCAAGGCATGCATGCAGTAACTTAAATATGCATCTTTTATGATAACCATGTTTTTAATCCCTAACTAAAAATTATTTTGATATTTTTGTGGGTATAAAGTCAAAAACGTCTGGTGAAACAACTGTCCTGATAGCATTAAGAAATCTTTTGTTAAAATCATATACAAAAACTGCTACACTGGTTATTAATATTTAAACATGCAAAAAAATGGAGAAAACAGAAAATTATATATATTAGTTAACTCCTTAACTAAAAAAGAATTCGATGTTTTGGGGGCATAAAGTCAAAAATGACTTTTGCATACTTTTTATTATTTCATAGGGGAAATTATGTATTTACAAAAACTGCTACACTGCTTATTAATATTTGAAAAACTTTTGTCTGTTAAATCAAAGTTGTCTGCTGTGACCAACATGCAGCGAACATACAACAGGAAATTACATATATTATACAATTTATTTTATAAAACAGCAAATTATATATAATTTCTAAATTATAGATAAAAACACTGCAGATATTTTTTTATAAAGCAAATTTAGTTCAGGTTGTAAAATTTGATGTGGTGCAAACATTTACGAATTTGTAAAGAAACATTTTACTTTAAAAACATTTTTAAAAACTTTTTAGAAAGTCATTATTTAGATGTGTACACTCACATGTATTTAAGGTGTAAGAAAAATGTTACTTTGCACTTGATTGTTGCACACGTTTTTAATATGGTTATCAAATTGAAACTTTTCTTTAAAAAATGGAAACTTTTTCAAAACTTGGCAAATGTGTTTCAAACTTTTTTTTTACCTTTTTCTTTATCATGGACACTCTTATTTGTTATTGACTCGAAATGCCTCTTCATTATCTGTTGTGAGAGAGTGTATATTTGCACTTTTAAGGATGTATCTCGCAACCAGGCCAAAATCACAACCTCGTTGTTAATTCACACCATAGCCGCATAACAGCAATACTACAATCTTTTCAAACTGGAGTATAAACACATGTATGGTTATTACACGTAAGAAAAAAAGGATTAAAATCTCAGTGAATGTTTTTCTCCAAGTTATTTCCTTCACACGTTTTCCCATCATGCAAAATGTCAGTGCTGATCCATTTTCCAAGCCACAGTGACCCTGCTCTGTACAGCATGTGTGTGTGTGTGTTTGCTGTCAGTACAGCACTCTGGGAGGCCAGTGTGTGTATTGTTCTACCCTTCTACATTTCACTCTTTTCTTTTACTGAGATCGAAGGAGTTTCACCCAAGAGATAATAATTGATCTGTCGGGATACAAAAGCCTTGT